GAAAATGTTGGAAAATTGGAGAACTGATAATACTAATTTATTTTAGAGTTGAGATAAATGTCAAATATGCAAAGTGGTGATGTCTGCAAAAAAGTCAATATAGGCTCCTGGAGACATGAAAGTTTGTTCTTTCCTAGATCAGAATGGTAGTTAAGTATGAAATGCTGGAAATGTCAATAATTTTGGTTTTCCATATTTGAGTGAGGATAAGTGCTTTCATGGGAATATAGATATAGGCTAGAGTCAGAGGCAACTATTCTATCAACAATTGAATAGTGTGTAGTGGAATAAACAAAGAGTTTTGGGGCACCAAGGTTGAATTAAGAAAAAAAAATCCATTGCCTACCAGGTGAGCAATATTGAGGAAGTAAATTTCTCCATGATTCAGATTTCTCACTGGTGAAATGAACTAAAGGATCCAATGTCCTTTCTAGACCTCATCTTTCATAGGCAGAAAATAAATCTAAATAAAATTTTGCATAAGGCTTGGGGACAGTTTAATCATAGAGCACTTACCTAGCATGAGTGGAACTCTGATATCTATCGCTAGCAATATTTTAAAACAGGAAAAAGAAAAAAAATGCCCAAGACAATTAACTTTTCAATTGGATTTAGGATTAGCAGATTGTTCAAAATTTTAGTATCTTCACTTACCAGTTTTCACTAAAGGTAAAATCAACATCATTATTTACAATGGCAAATCTACTTTATATAGTTTTCTACAGACTCCAACTGGATGGAGATTTCAGGTGGAGGGAGTTTCCCTTAATGTTTCTGGAATGTCACAAAGGTATTTTCAGTATATTTCATTCAGGAACATGTGAAGGACAATCTTTGAAAGCAACCAGATGTAGAAGCACATTGTGGAGGATGTGTATGTCCATAGTTTTCCTCAATATGGAGACCAAGGGAAGAGCTCTCAGCTTGCCAATTTAGGTCAGTTATATTAGATGATAGAGCAGTGGTCCCCAGAATCCCTTGGTCATTTTTTATACCTCTTATATTCTCCCTTCCTCAATATTTTCTCTTGATATTTCCCTTTTTGATCTCAGACACTTGCAAAGAAATGGGGAAAATTGTCACTTCCTCATTCCTTCTCCATCTAACCCTTTTTAACTTCTCCAGTATTTGATCATGCTTGTTGTAGCGGTAAAGCTTCTGTTTATTTATATAGTTTTATTAACCCAGTCATTCAGAAAATATTTGTTGAACACTTACTAAATGCCAACATGCAGTACTGGTACCGAGGATTTAAGGATGAAGAATGAGGCTGCTCCCTTCTTCTGCCCCTACGAAATTTACAGTCCAGCCCTCCTAAAGAGTCTAGAAGGGCAGTTCATTTTGTAATTGACATAGCTGAATGATCAGTAGTGAAGAAAAGGAGAGAAAGCTGCATGTACCATCTGTCCCAAAAACTGCAGGGGAATTTTAGAGAAATCAAACATAATCACAGATTACATTTGGGATTGGATTGGGCAGAGGACATTAATTTAAGGTCTTAAAATATCTTGTAGGCATTTATTCACTGTGTGGCCTGACTTTATCAAAGTACTTAGAGCAGAATAATAGACAAAACTGAGCCATAGGTTTATAAGATTACAATGTAAATAGAGAAAACAAATCTAAGCCTGTATGGTATTTCTAGGCATAGAACTGCTGAGAGTTTTCATTTTAGACAGATGCTATCAAGTAAAGGGTTTATTAAGAGTAGAATTATAATCCCAAACAGGCATGATATTCAGATAACTTTTAAATAGAACAAAAATCTAACAAATATTAATAACAATGTTAAAAGCATATTCATTCTTCTACTTATTATTCTGAACCTAGCTCTACTCAAGTACTTTACAAAAAGATTTAGTTCTTATGTAATTTCTCATTTAAAATTCACCACAAATTGTGAAAAAAAAGAGATGGTGAAATGCTATTTTTAATGAATAAAAAGCATTATATTATCAGAGGACTATTGACTTGCACCCATTGTATTAAGCTGAATAAGAATGATTCTAAGTCTTAATTTTTCATTTTCTTAGTATGATTTTTTAAAAAGGACATTAACTCCCTTGAAACTCCCTTGAAACTATTATCAGATATGTCTGATAATAGCAAGTAGGCAACTTGCTTGGTGAACTAGGGTTTTGGGGCTGAGCAAATGACAATGTGCAAATAATCAGGTCTTCTGAGAAAAAGAGAGGGAGCTGGGCTTTAGGAACTGTGTAGTTCATATTTATAGTTGAAGGCTCTGAGGAAGGTTGCAGATGTGATCTTTATTAATCCCAATATTTTATTTTATACCTGAATTTATAATTGGGTCTTAAAATCAAATGAGATGTCATTGTATCACCATCTGCTGTTTCAAAAATAAGAGACACACTCATATGTTGTCGACGGCCACTTTAAAAAGATGAATCCTTTCAGGGCTCCAAAGCTGTTTTGGAAGCATTTTCAGAATATTTTCCATTTTAATGGGAAGAAAATTTATGAACTTATGTAGAAAAGTTCCCAGCAGCCTTGTATCTCCTGTTCAGAATAAATAATGGGCAAATGTGTTGAATTTTGTAATTGTCTTGCTTTTCCACTCAACACACCATTGTCACGTTCATGTGGACTTAGGTTTTGGAAAGTGGAAGGATTTTAGTCTTCTACGATGGAACTTAGCCTAAAAGGGGACCCCATGACAGAAACAGGGCACCATTTTATTCCCAAAGGAGACTCTGTCTAGGTGTTGACAATGACACCTGGCAGGGGGTTGGGTAGGTGATTCATATGAGATATGCATTATGAGATTAAAGAAAAACAATTGTCGCAGTCTTATTTTTCCAGATCTGCCAACCTGAAATCCTGCTAAAACATGGTAAGATAGAGGCAAAAAAATTTTCAATATTGTGGTGATTATTTTTAACATAACAGAAAATTGCTTTTAATTCATTCATTCATTTATTTTTGGTACTAGGGATTGAACCCAGGGGCACTTTAGCACTGAGCTGCATCCTGAGTTATTTTATTTATTTATTTTATCTGAAACAGGGTCTTACTAAGTTGCAGAGACTGGCCTCAAATTTGAAATTCTCCTGCCTCAGCCTACTGAGTTGTGATCATTTTATTTTGTCATCTGAATTTTATTTCAGTTATTTCTGTTTATCAAATGATATATATTGGTGTAAACATAGATTTTATTTTTGCTATGGCTACATAAAATTTACTATCATATTTATAAAATATATATTTGTATTACATATATGTACATATGTGTATATTGTGGTGTATAAATGCATACGTGGATATATATAATCTATTCAATACTATGGCAGTAATAATCCCAAGTAAAAATACACTTCTGCAGTGTCACTTTACTCTTTTATTTATTTGTGCTTTTAACTCAAATCTTAATCAAGGTTTCTCTAATCAAAAAGCTCAGTAGTGGAACCCAGGGTATCATGCATGGGGATGGAAGAAGGGGAATGTTTTGATTGCTCTGACCTGGAGGCTCATTGTGCCTGTCAGATGACTTCTATTTTAGCAGAGTGAAATACCTCATGATCTAATAGTTTTCCAATCATTGAAACCTGCATGTTTCTCAATCATATCATTAAATTCCCCAGAAAAGGTACCCTTGGCTGGATCTCTGCTTTAATGGCAGAACTTTCTGTCCATCACAAGACTTTTAAGGGTTAACGGTTTGCTCCTTTTTTCCCATCTTACCTACTTTTTTTTTTTCCACCTGTTGTTCCACAGTAGGCCTTCTAAGTCAGAATGTCTAAATAAAGCATGGAGGGAAAACACTTGAAGAAATAAAAATGAGGCTAACAATTCTAGCAGTTTTCATAGGAACTTTAATGGTATATCTGTGAAAAAGTAATAAATGGGCTATAGTCCATTAGGCAAGAACAAATTTTCCTCCATAATTTTATCTTTGTTTAATTGAATATTTAATTAGTATAAATATAAAACTAATTTTTGAATGTGCTCAGTACATTTAGCAGGAAGGTTTGGCGCTGGGCTGTCTTGAGATGTACTCCTGCAGATGTGGACAGCCACCGTGCCCTTCTTGTCCTCCTTGGTGTGCTGATAGAAGTGAGTGGGTCATTTGGCATTAGCAAAGGAGTAAGTTAGCATTTGCACTGAGCTGGATCTTGCCAGGCTGTGCATATTGGAACCCGCAGACAGAGGCTGCTTTCACGTTGATGAATGGGTTTTTTCAAGCGTTCTGCTCCCTAGTTATGAGAAGGGTGACCCGGTCAGGAGACGACTTTATGAAGCTATAAAAAATGTATGTCACTTCGGACTCTCTAATGTCACAGGGAAGGAAAGGAAAAAAAAAAAAAAAACCTGTGCAAAAATGGCAGGGTAATAAGGCTGTTTTCAATGCTTGAAATAGCTTTCTGTCTACAGTCATATGTAGCCCTGAAACCGGGGCCATGGAGGGTACCCACTATGCATTGTTGTTGGGCAGATTAAAAAAAATTTTTTTGGAGCTTTGTTTGGCTTTGCTTGCCTTTGCAGAAATGCTTATGGCGATGACAATAAGACATTTCAAAATGCAGGTCTGGTAGCTCAGTGTCAGAACTGGGGAGGGCGCAATGTATTTTTGAAAGCAAGCAATTGACTCAAGGTGGTGATGACTTTTAAGTATGCAGAAGATCCAGGAAGCAGTCATCACAAAGCAAGCACAATTTGAAAGGCGTCTTTTCATCTACTATTTTATAAAGTCTTTCCTCTGCATCACAAAGAATTTATAAAAAGAGGAAAGAAAAGGAAGGTTTGCCAGGTACACTTGCCCCTGTGCTTTCTGTTGAATACTCTGGAGTTTACAGATAGTGACATGTAGATTTTAACAAAGGCAGCCCTCTGAAGACCCATAATTTAGCATTCATTGAATTCTCTCATTCTTCTCATCAATATGCATATTTTACCATATCAGGTGCTTTCCTTTTGATATGTCACCCATTTCATAACTCATGTTCAAATGTTAATTTACACAAGATAGGGGACCCAGAGGATCAAGGTCAGCGGTTTTGTCTTTATTAGGGTTTCAATTAGTCACAGGTGAACTTTGGAATGTCTCAAATGGATTCAAACACTCTTTCCATAGTTGAGTTGTACAACAGTGAGCATCCTCTTCCAAACCCAGGACAACTTTGTCATTTCTGTTCGGAGACATGTAAACCTCTCCCATTAACGTACTTGGGAAAGCAAACATAATTATGTGAAAGGTGACAAGCTTAAAAATCCAATTATAGCAACTGTTAGACTCACGGATAAATCTGAAGACAGAAGCATGGGACAGAGTTTTTCACCCATAGATATCTGTTAGGTTGTCATATCATCCTTTCTGATTCCTTATGAAGATGTCTGTGTACGTGGTTGGCTTCTTAAAGAGATAGAAGAAACAATTTAAAGGAGTCAAGAGAATGCTGAGACTGCCAGAATATACCAAAAAATTCTATGACATCAGAACAGGTTTCAGGATTCCCAGATACTGGCTATTGGCTGCTCATCTTGACTTACCTGGAGTTATTAAATCTCAGCACCTCTAAACTCTTTAGCCTTTTTTACTTTGCTGTGTGAGTGAGCCAATGTACTACAACAGCATACATCCATGTGTCTAAAAGAGGCCCCATCATTCTAGAGAGTAGTTTTTCACTTTACATTAGAAGAAACCCAGACATAAAAAGCGAATCGACAAATACTCGCCTTTGAGCATTTTAAAGACAAGAGTGAATATATGCTCCCTGGAGGATTCCAATATGTCAATTCTTGGAAATGTTTGCTGCCTTTTATAACCTGGATACTGAAAATGATGTAAGGGAGTTAGCTTTTCTGTCTAGCTAAGGTTTGTTGTTTTTCTTTCTTTTCTTCTTTTTTTTTTTTTCTTCAGTAAAAGAATTTCTTTTCTTGTTTGGATAAGTAGGTTTGCTTAAGGGTAGCCCTACAAGTTGAGATGTGAGACTTATGATGTTAGGGAAAATAGAAGCAGATTCATGAAAATTGTAATGAACACAATCTAAGAGAGAGGATCAGTGGTGTTTTTATTCCCTGATCTTGCAGGCTTGTCATAGTATCACTATGTAATGTCATATAAAGGGCAGGTGCACAGTGAGCAAGCTCTGCCCTCAGAACAGGCAAAGTGTGTGTGTGTGTGTGTGTGTGTGTGTGTGTGTGTGTGCATGTGTGTGTGTCGGGGGGTGCATTAGCTGCACAGAATTGTAAAAGAATAATAAGTGACTAGAGTGGATCTGCTTTTTTAAAAACACCCAATTATTTCCTTTCCATCTGACGTTTGGAACTCTACTGTTCTCTTGCAAACACTGAAGAATGTGCATTTTCACCCTGCAAAACTGAGGAGGTCTTGACTATAAAGCATGCTATTTTCCAGCCCTACTTGATGAGAAGGCCTAGTCACAACAAATGTTCCCAAGAGAACTCCTTGGACACATTTAGAGCAAGGTTTCATTTATCCTGAGTTCCTATGTTCTCTAAGTATTGGAGCCAATAGCATAAAACAGATATTTTCTCAAGAAAAATCCCACATCACTTAAGAATTTATTAACAATTTACATAATTGCTTAAGTAATCTGCATAATTGACAGAAAGTTTAATTTGACCCTAGTTCAACTGTAACACTTATGGTTTTAAATTGAAATTGGTATAATTCATTTATGAGAGTAATTAAGCCATGGTGTCTAACAAATACAACGTATGCTGCCGGAGGCCTATGAGGCCAGAACACGCTATCAGAATGTTTTATTTAAATATGTCAAATCTGTTCATCTCCACAGTCACCCATGTTAAACTAGAGCAAATTGCTGGTTTGACCTTGAGCACAGTGCTTCTGAAATGAGATATTTAAACCAAAGAAGTCCATTGTCCTTCTGGAGGATTCCATAAACTAAAGTGTTTAAAGAGAGGCTAAACTTTACCTAGGTTTTACTTCCAAAAATTGTTCATAGCTGATTCAACTATAATTATAAGAGTTGTTAAATATCATTTTTCTTAATAATAATTTAAAAAACCCTAGAATAGTAAATCATTAGATTATGACAAGATGACTAATATTCACTTGAGTGAGGAAATTGGGGAATCTGTCTGCCTTCCCTGTGATGCATACTTTTTATACTTAAATGCGTAATTAATCCAACTCATTAAAGACTAGTTATCCCAAAAGAATATATAGTACTGAAAAGAACAACTGCATATAGTCTACAAAAGGGTAGAGATTAATTTGGCCAAGATCTTGTGGCATACAACATCTCTTTTCTTGGAAAACATCAGATCTAGTGGATTTATTTTGTCATTGCTACCTCTGCAGCCTGAGGGAACCAAAGAATATGTATGAGGGTCAGCTGCAAGAGATATAGTTATGTAGATAAAGTCTCTCCTGGGAACCCTCAAGATTCTTCCTTTTGCAACACTCCCAAGAGTGTTCCAAGGAAAAATCTTCTAATGCATCATCATGTGCAATACCAGCCTCCAACACTCCAGCATCCTTGCTGTCTCCCTCATTCTATTCTCTGGATCTATTTTTCATGTTCCTTTTTCTCATTGATAATTTATGCACTGGCTCAATTTTCCTATTTTCCTCAATCCTTGCTTCCACTATAATTATTTGCTTTCTTCCAAACCTAGGATCTCCCCTGCCCCTGAGTTGCACCACAGAGAGTTGATGGTAACAGCTACAGTTCAACGAGTTCTTCTCCAATGTTGTGATTGGTAACTTCGCAATGATTAGAGGAGATAAATTTATCTCCTCTAATTTATAGGAAATGGAGATTTTTAAAGGAAATAGATGACAAGAATAACATTCTAAAACATCCTGAGTTGCACTATGACCTTGTGGCCATATACACACTTGGTAAATTCCACTCTATTAAATAACATCATCTTCCTCTTATTGCAATAAATAAATAAATAAATAAATAAGTAAAAATACTGATCATTATTATCATCATAATAACAAATGTAATAGAGAAAACCCCATGAAATAAGCCTGTAACCTTATAAATTATTTAAGATTGATACTCTTCTAATTTTAATCCTGGTCAAGAAATAGAACTTGGTTAGCCACACCAGAATCCTCTGAGCATCCTATTCCAATTTGGGTTTCTGTTCTAACACACTACCAATATCCCTTCTGACTGCTAAGAATCATACTTTTGCATTCATTTCTAGTTTTATCATGTGAGGAGGCATCCTGTAGACTGTAATTTAATTCCAATTTAACCTAGGTAACTTAAAAATGTCTTTTAGTCTATAAATTCTCTCTGTGTGTCTTTCCTTAAGTGACATAGTTAGTGCAGTAACAGAGGTTCCCACAGCCTGGATTTTGTAGATTACACATCACGGTGCAGTGCTCATGCTCCCATGTCCTCTAAATTCCCTCAAAATCAATTGGCAGAGGGATTCAGAGCCTTGATGAGACTCAAGTTTGATCCCTTTGGCAAGAGAAAAAATGTGACTTTGTACTTTTGATAAAGGACATGCAGAGTTTGATTGTCTTTTTGCGAAGTTACCAATCACAAATGCTTGATGCCTAGATCTATTCATTGATTGGGGAATTGCAAGAGGTGAGCTATTATAATCCTTTTATTTCTTTTTCTGTATTATCTAGAATACTTTTAAAAGAGGTGTTCTTCTTTTTTACACATGTAGTAGAATCATTCATATTGAAAGAATAAATTTTTTATTCTTTAACTATTTGATAGTACATTTTTACCATTCTCTTAAAGTGACCAATTATTTTGGTTTTAATATAAATATGAAACAATATATTTAAAAATATTTGATAGGTTTCAGTCTGTTATAATTATTACATTTTATGATGATTGAATTTCCACATCTTTGACAATGGAAGCTTCTTAACATTAGCTCATGAAGATACTGGGGAATGAGATTGATCAAATTGTTATGAGTACATATGAATGTGGTATTATGAATCCCACTATTATATATAATTACAATGTGCCAATAAAACATGAAAAAATGGTTCTCAAGTCTATTTGTCACAATTCTACTATTAATGATCTTTGATATTTTCCATGCTATTTGGTATGACAAATTTTTAAGGATTGTATTTAATATTTCCCACCCCAGTGTGGGTTCATCCAACATTTTTTGGGGGGGTAGTAGTTTTGTTGTATACTGAATTACGTCCACACAAACTTCATATGTGGAACCCTTATTCCAACATAATTGCATTTGGAGATAGAACCACTAAGGAGTGAACTAATTTTAAATTGGGTCATAATGCTGGGATCCTGATACCATAGGATTAGCATCCATCAGAGAAGAGGAGGAAACAGCAGAGTCTTTGTTTTTCTGAAAGGCCCTACAGGGAAACTGTGAGAGTTTCTTCAAGCAAAGAAGTGAGCCTTCACCAGAAACCAAATTACCTGGTACTTTGTTCTGGGACTTTCTTCCTGCAGAATTGTAAAAGAAATGCATTTCTTTGGTCTAAGCCACCATCGTGGAGTGTTATGGCAACCTAGAAAGCAAATACAGTGGGAAAAGGTATTTCAATTTATGATCCAGGTATTAGAGTGCTACTGGGATGACCACTGATTTTATGCAGACAGAACTAGGCAAGCAAACTAGATAGGTAGGTAGCTAGCTAGATAAGAGAGATATAGAAAACAAATCTCATTAATTCATGCTGTGCATTCCAATGCCAATTCAGCACTACAGGGTTTTTATGTAAACTATCTTCTCTATTACATCTCTGCCATGATCTCATATCTAGAATTCTGGCATTCAAGGGTGCAGGAAATATGGAATTAGAATTTGCCATATATACTCATTTATTTTATAATATATTGTGCACATATTTCTCTCAGCATTATAATGCAAATATTGCCAACTTGGGTAGCCTCTCTTTGTTTTTGCCCAGTTTTTTTTTTTAAATTATAGTGGTCCTATAAAATTGAAACAAGTTCATTGCCTATTACATTTTCTGCTTTTTGATTAATGTATAGTAATGGTTATCAAATAACTGTATTTTTTTTACCACCAATCCTGTCAATGAGTCTCTAGACATTTTAGATAACCTAGATAACTTAAAAATGTCTTTTAGTCTATAAATTCTGTGTGTCGGCTCACTTTCTACTAAATTCATTAGGAAAGTCTCATAATAACAGTATTTTCTAATTCTTATGTTAATAAATGTTTGTTCATATTCTTTATATGAAAAAACTAATTTTCCAGCCCACACCAACCTGCAGGGGACCAGGCTCACAGTAGGCTCAGGCCTATCCTGCCACTGGCAGACACCCACCAGAGCTCAGACTCCAGCACAGGATCACATCTTCTGATCAGCAGACCACCACAGGAGCTCAGGACGTGCCCAGATCCATCCACACCAACATACGCAGGACACAGGCCCAGGGTAGTTTCGAGTTCAACAACCCCCACCCTACCTGAGAGCCCAAGCCTAACCCACTTCCATAATGGGAAACTGCAGATGTCACCATGGCCTTCCCCATGCAGTAGGCCCTACCTTTCAACACCAGACAGAACCTAGAAGGAGCTGCATCCCAGAGCAAGTATCCCAAAGACAGTGTAAGGCCCAGCTTTTCAGCCCTATCTCTTTAAGACATTGCATCCATCTTGGGTTATTATCTCGAGTTACCTTGGCTATTGCTGCCACCACTTTAGTTTCAGTAGCATACATTGAGGGACACCAGCAGGGTCTGGAGGACCAACATCAAGATGAGTTATAGACAATCTGCAAGGGTACTATAAGAATATAGGGTAGAAACTGTAATATCTCAGATCCATGAAGCAAGAAAGGAAGACATATAGACAACATGAAAAAACTAGGGAGGAAAGTGTCGCAAACAAACCAGGAAACTACAATAACAGAACCCATAGACAGCGAATTTGATGAAATGTCAGAGAAGGAGTTCAGAATATTTTTAATTTAAATGATCAGTGAATTAAATAATTAAATGAGCAAATACAGCAAAAAATTATCACTCCAACAAAGAGGTAAGAGAGCAAATACAGGTAGCAAAGGATTACTTCAAGAAAGTGATAGAGACTCTGAAAAAAAAAGTCAGAAATCCTTGAAATGAATGATACAATAAATCAAATTAAAAAACTCAATAGAAAGCATAACCAACAGAGTAGACCACCTGGAAGAAAGAATGTCAGATAATGAAGACAAAGTATACGATCTGGAAAATAAAGTTGATCACAGGTGAAGAGAGTTAGAAACCATGAGCAGAATATCCAAGAATTATAGAAGAGCATCAAAAGACCAAATATAAGATTTATTGGGATAGAGGAAGGCACAGAGTTTCAAACCAAAGGAATTCACAGTCTGTTCAATGAGATAATATAAAAAAATTTCCCAAGCATGAAGAACAAATTGGAAAACCAAATACAAGAAGCTTATAGCACACCAAATGTACAAAATCGCAACAGATCTACACCATGGCACATTGTAATGAAAATGCCTAGCATACAGAATAGGATAGAATCTTAAAAGCTGCAAGAGAGAGGAATAATATCACATATAAGAGAAAACCAATTTGTATCTCAGTAGATTTTTCAACACAGACTCTCAAATCCTGGAGATCATGGAACAATATATACCAAGCTCTGAAAGAAAATGGATGCCAACCAAGAATCTTATATTCAGCAAAATTAAGCTTTAGATTTGATGATGAAATAAAAGCTTCCCATGATAAACAGAAGTTAAAAGAATTTACAACTAGAAAGCCTAGACTACACAACATCCTCAGCAAAATATTACATGAAGAGGAAATGAAAAACAGTGATGAAAATCAGCAGAGGGAGGTATTACACTAAAGGAAAATCTATTTCAGAGGGGAAACCAAGTCACATTAAATTCCAAAAATAAACAAAAATGGCAGGGAATACAAATCATGTCTCAATAATAACCCTGAATGTTAATGGCCTAAACTCACCAGTTAAAAGACATAGACTAGCATATTGGATCAAAACAAACAAACAGAAAAAGGAAAAGACTCAAAAATATGCTGCCTTCAAGGGACTCATCTCAGAGGAAAAGACATCGACAGACTTAAGGTGAAGAATTGGGGGAAATAATACCACTCACATGGACTGCAGAAGCAAGCAGGTGTTTCCATCCTCATATCCAATGAATTAGACTTCAAGCTAAAGTCAATCAAAAAGGATAAAGAAGGACATTACATATTGCTCAAGGGAACTATATACCAACAACACTTAACACTTATAAATATATATGCCCCAAACAATGGAGCATCTACATTCATCTAACAAACTCTTCTCAACTTCAAGAGTCAAATAGACCACAACACAATAATTTTAGGTGACTTTAACACACCTCTTAAATCACTAGATAGATCTTCCAAACAAAAGCTGAACAAAGAAACTATAGAACTCAATAATACAATCAATAACTTAGACTTAATTGACATATATAGAATATTTCATCCTTCAATGAGAGAATACACTTTAGTCTCAGCAGCATATGGATCCTTCTCTAAACTAGAACATATATTATGCCACAAAGCAATTCTTAGCAAATTTAAAAAGGTAGAGATACTACCTACATTCTATCAGATCATAATGGAATGAAATTAAAAACCAATGATAAAACAGAAATAAAAGCTACTCCAAATTTTAGAGTAGTTAAGTAATATGCTACTGAATGAACAATGGATTGCAGAGGAATTCAAGGAGGAGATTTAAAAAATATAGAGATCAATGAGATCACAGATACAACATATCGAAATCTCTCGGACACTATGAAAGCAGTTCTAAGAGGAAAGTTCATTGCATGGTGTTCATTCCTTATAAAAAGAAAAAAGTCAACAAATAAATGACTTAACATTACATTTCAAAGCCCCAGAAAAAGAAAAAAAACAAATCAATACCAAAATCAGTAGAAGACAGGAAATAATTAAAATCAGAGCTGAAACGAATAAAATTGAAACAAAAGAAACAATTGAAAAAAAAGTTGGTTCTTTGAAAAATTAAATAAAATTGACCAACCCTATCCATGCCAACAAAGAGAAGAAGAGAGAAAACTCAAATTACTAACATACATGATGAAAAAGGAAATATCATGACAGACATTACAGAAATAAGAAGATAATTAGAAATTATTTTAAAAACTTGTACTCTAATAAAATAGGAAATGTCAAAGGCATTGACAAATTTCTATATGATTTGCCAAAATTGAATCAGGATGATATACACAATTTAAACAGATTAACTTCAAGCAATGAAATAGATATCATGAGAAAGCTACCAACCAAGAAAAGCCCAGGACCAGATGGATACACAGCCGAGCATGTGTATAAGAGCTATAAAGAAGAACTAATACCAATACTCTTCATTTTATTTCAGAAAACAGGAAAAGAGGGAGCACTTCCAAACTTTCTGAAACCAACATCACCCTGATTCCAAAACTAGGCAAAGACATATCAAAAAAAAAGGAAACTTCAGACCAATATCTCTAATGAACATAGATGCAAAAATTCTTAATAAAATTCTGGAAAATTGAACAAAAATTGTTCAAAAGGATAGTGCACCATGATCAAGTGGGGTTCATTCCAGGGATGCAAGGTTGGTTCAACATATGGAATTCAATAAATGAAATTCATCACATCAATAGACTTAAAGATAAGAACCACATGATCGTCTCAATAGACGCAGAAAAAGCATTCAACAAAATACAGCACTCCTTCATGTTCAAAACACTAGAAAAACTAGAGATAACAGGAACATATCTCAACATCACAAAGGCTATCTATACTAAGCCCCAGGCCAACAGCATTCGAAATGGAGAAAAATTAAAACCATTGCCTATAAAAAGTGGAAGAAAACAGGGATGACCCCTTTCACCACTTTTATTTAATATAGTTCTTGAAACACTGGCCAGAGCAATTAGACAGACAAAAGAAATTAAATGGATATGGATAGGTAAAGAAGAACTCAAATTAGCACTATTTGCCAAAAATAAGATTCTATACCTAAAGGACCCAAAAAGTTCCAACAGTAAACTTCTAGAACTAGGAAATGAATTCAGCAAATTAGCAGCATACAAAATCAACACCCATAAATCAAAAGCATTTCTATATATAAGTGATAAATATTCTGAAAGGGAAACAAGGAAAACTACTCCATTTACAATAGCTTCAAAAAAATACTTGAGAATCAACTTGATGAAAGAGGTGAAAGTCCTTTACAATGAAAACTACAGAATGATAAAAAAAAAAAGAAATTAAAGAAGACCTTAGAAGATAGAAAGATCTATTTTGTTCTTGGATAGGTAGAATTAATATTGCCAAAATGAGTATACTACCAAAAGAACTATACAGATTTTAATACAATTCCAATCAAAATCCCAATGACATTCCTCATAGAAATAGAAAAAGCAGTCATGAAATTCATCTGAAAAAATAAGAGACCCAGAATAGCTAAAGCAATCCTTAGCAAGAAGAGTGAAGCATGTGGCATTACTATACC